TTAGGCAATAAAAGGGCAAAAAAAAAAAAAAACCTGTAATTTTGTCTGAAAATATGGTGCGCACGGCACAATTCCTTCCTTTAAAGAGACCTCTTCCTTGGGTGTCACAGCGAAAGGGACAATAATCAGATCAAAAACATAGCTCAAAGCGAAAAAACAAAACAACGTACTTGCGACCATGGGCACTGCTAGAAACTGGTTCAACACAGTCCGAAAGAAGTTCATCAAATCATCTCAAGGAGAGATCATCATTCTCCACAGCCCAAGTCTCAGCGCCCAGTCAATCATTGGAGAAGGTAGAGACTTCCACAACAACTCATCAGATTCATCGCCATCTTCCTTCCGAAGAAGAAAACATTTAACCAGGGACTACATCGCGGCAATCAAAATCCAAGCCATTTTCAGGGGTCACCTTGTAATTACATCCCACCTAATAACACTTCTCTTCCAAAGATTTCTCTTCTTGGAGCTGAGTTAAACTGATAGTTTCACTCGTTTTTCTGGTTTTGATAGGCAAGACGAGCATACAAAGCATTGAGAAGCCTGGTTAAGCTGCAAGCTGTGGCCCGAGGGGTGTATGTAAGGAAACAAGCACGAATAGCACTGCAGTGCATGCATGCACTCGTTCGGTTACAGGTCAGGGTTCGTGCCCGCCAACTCCTCAGCAAGTATAGCCATGACAGCTAACCAGCGATCATCGAGCAAAGTTTCCAATACAGAATAATTGCTTTACTCTGTCATCTCAAAATTGTAACCAACATGAGAAACATGCTGAGTCTTGATTAAGGAGTTAGATTCTATTTAATCCTTGGCCTTTATCTTCTATTTATTTATTTTTGCCCTGCCTGCCCATGTTTTCCCTTCTTTATCGGGCACAAGGTTCTTGATCTAAAAAACTGGAAAATAAAACCGGTGACCAAACTAAAGCGCAGACAATAGGAAATGGCATGGACGATCAGGTGAGGTTTTCCTTTTTTTTTTTCACCAATCATTCACTTCTCACTCTTTATATAACAAGCCCATTCGAAGTTATTACAGCAGACAAGTCATGATTCAGATTGCAATAAGGCAAAAAAAAATGAACAGGCAAGTACTAGTATAAAACATTAGCGCTAAGAGGAGAAAGAGGAGAGAAATTGTAACTTAAGACGGCTTAGGGACAAGGGTAATGAGTGCTAAAACTGAAATATCGCTCTCTCAATGCACACCGCTGTACTGAATTGCTCATCATGCATAATGCTGTACAATGCAAAAAGCATATGATAAGAAACGTACAATGCAGTCAGATCATACATGTTGTTAGCAGCAGCATCTTTTCTACTGGGCTCAATGGTGTCCCCTTATCATAGCTGAGAAAAAACCGCCAGATGACTTGCTCTTGCGGCAATCTCCCCCCTCATCTGCAACCTGTTTCAAAAGTTTCATGTTTAAAATTGATTAATAGGACAAAAAGCAAGTCCTATAGGTACTGTACCTCTTTAGCTATTTGTTGAAGAATATCTATAATTTCAGAGAAGGTAGGTCTTTGAGTTGGATCCTGCTGCCAGCATCTCTCAAGCAGTTCTCTTAATCTTGGGTGAGTATTCTTTGGGATTGTAGGGCGTAGACCCTGAAAAGATTGTTATAAACAAGTTCCGCTAATTAGCACAAAAAGAAAAACTCATAGTTTCATAGTCATACAGAAATACAAATACCTTTTGCACCACACCTACTGCTGCTTGTAAAGGAGTTAAGAAAGCATATGGCAGCTGGCATTTTGAATGAAAGAGTACATTAGTCATAGAAACATATTTATCCCAAACTACCATACTTGTAAATGAAAGAAAAGTTAGCCACAGACAACGGCGCACAACCAAACCAAACTTGTTCCTCTTAAAACAGTGAGTCTTACTTCTCCTGTCAGTAGCTCCCAGAGAGCTATCGCAAAGCTAAAAACATCTGCCTTGTGATCATATGGTTTGTGCTCAATAACCTACATTAATTAAGATTGGTGAAAGAAATATTAGATTATAAACCTTTTCTTGAATTCAATTCATATTTGTTTCCATTGGAGAAAAGATTAAGGCACAAGTGATCAAATGACAAAACAAAGACTTATCAGCTGAAAGTTGATTATATATCATGGGGGAACAATTGAAAAATGATACTCTAGTCTTGACATGGAAATTAGAGAGCTTGATTACCATAATCACATGTTTTGATGATCACGAAGCAACATAAAAGAGAAACTTATATTGCAAGGTTATCTGAGTAGTTAATTACTATCATGTAAAGAATACAGAGGCGAATCACAATGTCCAAGAAAAACACATACCTCAGGAGCCATCCAGCGGTATGTACCAGTTTCAGCTGTCATTACTCCTGACTGAGCCTGCACTCTAGCAACTCCAAAATCAGCAACTTTAACAACCTGTCAAGGAAGGACCAACAATTTTAGGAAAAATATCAAAAATTAAACTATTATGCAATTTACAACATACTATAATTCAAAAACACACATGCATTTCCAATGCCAACATGAAGTCAAATCACCATCCACTTAGAATTCAAAATTCATATGGAAAAAAAAAAAGGACCACAGCTATTAATAGAGAATTAATGAATCATTGACTTGATTAACCAAAAAAAAAAACATAATCATCTTACTTGATTTTCATCCATCAGAAGATTGGCAGTTTTCAGGTCCCTGTGGATGATGTTATTTTGATGCAAATAGTTCATTCCCTTGGAAACATCAATTGCTACCTTGAGTAGAGATGGCAACTTAAAAACTCCCCTTTTCTTATGCAGATAATCATATATACTACCACCAGCCATGAACTCTGAAAAAGCACAAATATCACTGTCAAAACTTGACTATCTGTAAAGAGGATGAAAAGTTTCTGTTTCTTAATAAAGTCGCAGAGTTTATCATCAAAGAATTAAAAGGGATGAAAAGGCATACACATCCGACAATTTAAATTTTGGTATACAGATGGGAATTCACAGACACTAAATTCGTAATGGTAGGTTTTGTGTCAATCTCTCAGTTTGCACTCCAAAGCCAGAATTGTTCCCTTCTAGCAACATAATTATAGATTATATCTGGTAAAGATGAAAAACAGCAACACTTAACAGCAGTACCATTCTTAAAGCAAAAGTTTCAAAATTTTATGCATTAAAGAAAAAATTATAAAACATAGTAAAGAATAGCTGGAAAACTTCATTATATTATACCAGTCACAATGCACAGGTTTGGAGCTCTTGTACATGCGCCTATGAATTGAACAACATTCTTATGCCGAATTTTCCTGCAAACACAAAGAAAAATAAGGTTGATATTCCACTGCATGGAAGTCAGCCTTGAAGATGAGTAACAATTAGTCCCACCCTCCCAGGAACCAACTATAGATTAACACATTAATACATTCAATAACTCGAGAAAATCTTATACAACAATAATATGTGCAAAACAATGAGATTTCTGCATGAATCCTGCCATAGTTTTCCAGTAATTTTCAATACCAACATTTATATAGACTGAAAAACGGCATCAGTTTTAGTTCTACAGGAGGATACTAGGAAAATGCTAGAATTCAGACTTCATCAGAACTACCAATCAAAACCAAAAATAAAATAAATGGAAACTGTTTTCTGAGAGAACTGATTTGCCAATGTGCATGGAAAATAGATATTGTGCAGACTGTAAGACAAATATGGCCTATTTCAGAGCTTTGAAACTTTCCAACCCTCCTTTCAATGCTAACTGTCCAATCTTTAAGAATAAGGGAGAGGGATACGAAGAGAGGGTTGGAGAATGTGTGTTTGGAGAGGCATGTGAAGAAGGGAGGCAAACATTCAAAAAAGTAAAATTGCGCCCAATAAGTTGGATGGCCAAGAAAATAAACATGACATTTGAACGATCTCATCTTACTAGAGAAACTATGAATGGAAGACTATACCCTCCAGGAAGCCAAACATCGCCTCCAAATCCCTGGATATAACAAGGGAAGGTGGATAAATCAATAAATTCTCCTAGACAAATATCAAGAACTCAAGATAAAGTCTCTTGTACAGAATTTGCATTAGCATGGTAACTCCAAAAACTCCTAGGAGACTTCAAGATGATGATTTCCTCCTTCCCCAATCCATAACTTAAAATCTATTCAGGTCTCTGTTATAACACTGAATGTAAGTGTGCACTGAGGCCTGTCAGGCAATTAAATTTGGCCAAGTTTGTCTTTCTCCCCTTTTATTGAATAATAAACATCTAATTACAGGAGAATCAATAAAATCCAAAAGCATGGAGAATGCTTATCGGAGAGGTGATAGGTTCCCTTCACAACAGGTAGCATATACTAGCACTCCAACAAACCTCATTATATAGACTTCCTGAGAAAACTCTCTCAGCATTTCTTCCGTAACACACTCAGGCTTGAGGACTTTAATGGCCACTTCTTGACTACAATATGTGCCTCTGTATCTGAAGATGGTAAATGAGATGATGAGTTAGAATTTGTACTCTCCCAAAACAAAAAGAGAAAGAAGCAGGCTTGAAAATAACAATACTTACAGATCACCATAGGATCCAGATGCAATCTTGTTTTCAAATTTGAGCTGCCTGGTATCAATTTCCCATACATCAGTTCCATCAGTAGGGATTTCAACACAATCAGGTAAGGAAATGACCCCTTCTTTGATATGCTCAGTCATAGCAGATATTGAACCCTTTCTAGAATAACATTGCTCCTACAGATAAACCATCAGATGGAAGCAGAAAAATTGGTTACCTCTAGCAATCCATAATAAACATGATTGCTACCATGATTTTAGAAGTCATCAAGTAGAGAAAGTTAGGTTGATCTGCTGAAAAGCAGCCTGTATGCATCTGTTTGGAGGACAATTCTAAAGCTAGGAACTTACAGCTGAAAAGTGAAAACCAAAATTAAGTTTTTCCCCTTTGAGAAGTTATATTTTGCATTAATCTTTTGAACTACGAGTGAGAGTCAGAGCTTCAACTGAATATTCTTTAGTTTATTTCTCATCAAAAAGGTTAAGCATTAATACTTTCAATCAAACTCACAGCTCATAAATACAGAAATGATATAGAAACAAATTAATTTTTATGCCAAAAAAAGGGAAACTACTAGCCATATTTGGCATCATCTGCGGCATTCATATGGCTTGATTCAGCAGTACTAGGAAAAGGTATATATGATTCATTTATGAGCATCAAAACAGAAGTAGTGAAACGTGAGTAACACTGAGGAAAAGGTACCTTAGACTTTAATATTTCCTTCTCCAAAGCATTTTTGAGCTCCTCAGTTTCCTAAAAGATTAATGAGTGCAATCAGTGTTTTCTAGCCATAGGACCAAGCATTTGACCCAATTATTGGTGTGAGGAAATATAGAAGCATACCTCTAAAGGCCAACCATCAACAACAAAAACATCCAAAGAGTACCCATCAACAGTGGAAAAAGCATGAGCTTCTTGAATGTTCAATCCAATCTCCGCAAGAAAAGAAGTCAGCTGCCAAAATTATCATAAATATCTATCATTCATTGCAAGAGAAAGTTGGACAAAAGCATTCCAGATGGGATCTTTCCACAACAAGAACATAGTCACATTTTATCTTTTCTTTTGATGTGAAATTTAGTGATTAACATTATCAAGACAGCTGTACTGCATCAGCAATCAACCTACACCATTGGTCATGCTAAGAAACAAAAAAGGATGCCAAAATCTATCAGAAATAAATTGAGAACACAAAATGGCACATTTCATGAAAGCAGGCAAAGAGAAGGCATTCAACTACCTGACTAAGAAGTTTTGGCCTGTCAACTGTTGAAAAGGTGATCTCATGCATAGGCCTACAAGATTCCACATCACATAATAACATTTATGTCATATCAAGTTGCACAGCGATTAACAAAAAGCATTGGATCAGACTTCTTTAAAAGACAGCAAGCAAATAAATAAGGGGCTCCAGAGCCACATAATAACCAGATAAGAACAAAGAAAGCCATTTTGCACCATAAGACTAAGAAGAGATAGTGCTCAACTCATCAAAGTCCTTACCGGAAAAGGTGTGATGTGGAATTCACAGCACTGTCTCCATCTTCAACATGATATCTACTTGCTTGAAGAGCAATAGCCTCAAGATTAGGTGATGAACCAAAGGTAGGAGGTGGATGGACACTGAAGAAAGACAGACAAGGAACAGCATGAACCCAAAAGAAAAACACATGAAGAATCCATGGAAAATTGACAAGTACATATGAGGAATATAGAAGCAACTGCAAAGAGCCTTACCCCTGTCTATGTGAATGATAAGCACTTTGTGCGTCTTCTTTCATAGAAGAATCAGAATGTGCAGTGGAGACAGGATAGACCTACAGATGATGCCAGAATCACACAAAAAGCCAATTTGACATTCATCAGTCAATACTAATCATGTCACAGCTAAGCTACATTCAATGTCTCCAGGATTTCAAGATGGAAAGAAGGTAATCCACAGTCAAAGAGAACTAGCAAATAGAAATCTGTTCTTATTGAAGTATAAAGATCAAATTGGAAAAGCATGCAGACATGTATACCTGCACAATACGAACTTCAAAAGCAGGACGATGGGCGAGGTCTTCTGCCAAATGCAGTAACCTTTTATGAGTTAGCACATCTTCTGCCCGCTCCACATTCACATCTAACGCGTATCTATCAGCAGTAACAGAAATCTCAAAACATCGAGACAGAAGAACTCATAATTCAGTTTAAGCTCAAGCATCAAATTTTCTAAAAGAAAAAGGAAATAGTAATAGTTTCGAACTTCCTAAAGTAGACCAGTGTGAAACGATAATGAAAAATATGAGAAAAGACAAACAAAAATATCAGCTTGACACGGCTACTTCGCTGATTTGATTTGAACTTTTTATTTTTCTTGTTTGTTTTAACGGAAAAAATGAATTTTGTTTTCTTTTTTTTTTAAAAAAAGGGATGATAACTATGAATCTCACACCAATTGTAAGATTCATGAATCTTATCTCAAAGTTGTCCTTCACACCAAACAATCATTTTAGAAAGTTTTAAAAAGAAAAGGTACAGAATCGAACAAAAGCAGAAATCTAGGGTTAGACTTGATACCGGGCAGGTAGCCGATTGAAATGAAGCCAGAGCTGATCATCGAAGCCAGGCAGATTAGCTTCCTCGTACTTAGACTCCTGGATTCGCTTAAGCACCTCGTTGTAAACATCCAGCTTTTGCCTTTGATGCCGAGGATTCGCATGCGCCAGCGAGTCCACAGCTATACTCCCGCAGCTCTCAGTGTCCTCTTCAATCGCCATTTGAGTCTACTCACAACAACCACTTCCAGTAATCAAAAACAGATTTGACAGAGAAATCGAGGGAGAAGACTCAGAGATTCATTAAAAGTTCGAAATCGAAATGAAAGAGAAACAAACAAGCTTTGTGTTATATTTGATTAAACTGGAAAAAAGAAATAGAGATGAGACAAAAGCTCCAAGTAGATGCTGTGGTATCGACGTGTGCCGAGGCGGGTACTGAATGTGTTCTGTGTTCATTCAGAAGTCTCCACGTCAGAATTCGGACCACCAGGTTGTGGGTCACCAGATGCCCAGGTAATCTTATACGTTTCTTGATTGGATAATTTTTCTTTTTTTTTTTATTTAAGGATCCTACTGAAATTCTTGGCTGGGATTGGGCCCATCAGATGAATGGGTCAAGTGTCGAAAAATAAAAGGCTTACGCAGCAAAACGACGCCCTTAAATTATGATTTTTTAATTAAACCCTTAATTTGTATGCAAATAATTTGTCATTTTATCAAAAAATGAACCGTAATCAATTAAATATTAATAACATTTTTAATTCACGTGACATATATATGATGAAGGTAATTGACATAGTCAGTGTATTTAGTTATATAATCACGTCAATTGCTCGTGTCATATATTATATAGATAAAAAATACTAATTGATATTACTATTAAATTTTTATATAATAAGGTTATTAGGTAATTACGTTCTCTATGTTTTTTTTTTAATCATAGATGCTTTAGCTTTTCTTTCTTAGTAAAAACAAATTAATGGTAATCAAATTTAATGATAAATGATAACTTTTTATTCATGTGACATATAATATAATTAGTGCATTTAATTATGTCAATCTTTATATGATCACATTAGTCATCTATGTCATATATATGTTACGTAAACAGAAAATATCAATTGAGATTAAATCAGATGACGGGTTAATTTTTAAGCAAAGTTGAAGATTTGTTTAATTAATAAATGCTTATATAAGTAGGATAAAAGATGAAAAATAATTGTTTGGATAATAATAAGATGATGGTTAATCATGAAATTTTATGACTTCAAATGAAATACAAATCCAAGGCCAGTGGACTCATCCATCCACTAAAATTACACTGTTTTTGACTTAATCTGAAATGATGACATGGAATCCACATGGACTGATAAGCCGAGGTGGCAAGTGATGACAGTTGAAAGCTGGCAAATGAAGTCGTTTTATAGTTTTAGGCAGTTGGAAAATTGAAGATTGAAGTTATATATGTGTGTATATATATATATATATATATAGATAGATATAAGTTTGAACTGAATCCGTCGTCTTGGATGCATTAATGAGAGCGGATGAGAACATAAATGTGAAAACTATTCACCCATGTGAAAATTTTTCGTATGAGGTTTTTGTACAAAAATTTGGGTGTCCTCGTCCATATCTTTCATACTGTTTTTCCCTCCTCCGAGAAACCTGTCAGTGTCAAACTTGATCTTGGAAAAAATATCATCCTAATAGAATTGAATGTAGTTTCTGTTACATCACTGCTCTCTGCTTGTATGTACGGGGGGAATAAGCCCAAGACCTTGACCTTGCTTGAATCCCTCAGCAGAAATGTCTTCTTGAGTCTGGCTGGCCAAGATGGATGATCGATGATACTGAATGATCAAACCATGCAGGAAAATGAAACGGAAGATTGCTGCCCAGGGAAGGCTCCAGGACCAGGATTACATATCTGCTCAATTCTTCTATGTTTTTGGAGAAAGGGATGACTTAAAAAAAGGGTAATTCATGAGAAACATATGCAAGAGAAATCAACATAATGATGCTCAAAATTCATAGATTTCCTTTCTAATGAGCTTAAAGTAAAAATTTGGTATTCCAATTTGTTTTCTTTTCCCAGTTTCTCGAGTTAGCTACTGATGCCTTTCATTTTCCTTTCCCCTTTTGTCTTTTTTTTTTTGGTTTGGTTTGGTTTTAAACAGATATAGACTAAACAACAAATCCTGCAGATCTCATGGTTTTTTCCATTCATTTTGCATATACGCAGCTATTAATTGAGAAACAGGTTGCAGTTATAGTTATTATGGACACCCTCGAGGCTGCAGGGTAGGCCCCCGGCCCCCACCATCTGCCTTTCTCTCTTTTCCTGGGGCATTGGCTATGCAATAAAGGTTTGAAAACATGGGTGACGTGACTTTCAACTCCTTCCTAGTTTCTAAATCTCTTCGAACAACCCGTTTTAACTCCCTCCCAAGCCATACAAACTACATTAATGAAGTATAAACCTTGGAAAGAAAACAGTGCTAATCTTACTCGATTAAGGAAAAACCATATTTTGCGACAAACGATGAATCGATAAAGTTTTTTGATAGGATGTAACATTAATAAACCTAATGCTCCCGAAGTCCCAAATCAGCTGCAGCAGCAGAGATCGGTGGAGCTGCATCCATAGTTTTTTATCCGATATTTTCCTGGTGTTTGTTTCTGTTTCCATTTCATGTTTTGTGAGAAACCCTCCTCAGTGCATGAGGTAAAAGCATGAATATTACTATAAACTTCTTCCTGTAAAACCAATAAACCTACAAGGCAAAGCAACAGTTACACGCTAGAAAATCAGTTCATGGACGAAAACAAACCTTGGTGCTCTATCCTTGGCTTTTAGAAGCACGAAAGCTTGGAGATATGAAAGAGTTCTAAGATATTGGCACGGCTCAATCAAACCAAAACCAGCAAAATGCTTTACTCTTCAGAAAGTGCTGTCATTTAATGTCTGAGTGAACCAGGCCAATATCACAGTTACCATTTCATGTAGTTTCTTGTGTCCAACAAGATCCCTTAAGAAACAATCAGGAATGAAGAATCATGCATCGTTTCAGGATCAAACAGAAAAGACTGAAGAATATCGGGAGGACAGATGGGTTAGAGAAGAGCAAAATAAACGAAGAGAGAGAGAAAGAGGGAGGGAGAGAAGAAATTTGAAGGGGAAGTTTTTTTGTGAGGAGATGTAAGAATGTCTGGGTGGGGATTTAAGAGAGCCAGAGGGTCTGCATGAGCATTTAAAACCGCTACTACCAAAGCAGAAAGTTGGGCCAGTGCATTTAAGTCCATTATTCTCCCTCCCATAGTTCCATCCATGTTTTTCCCTCTTTCTTTTTCTCTGAATCATGAAGGCCTGCCTTGAAAATTTTATAGACTTTTTCTTCTTTCCATGGGCACCCCTCTTCCAAAACTGACCTTTTGTTTCAGTAATCCAAACAAATACCAGCACAAGGTCTTTGTTCTTGTGATAAAGGATCTACCTGTGTTACCCAAATTAGATTGTGTTAGATATGGATATAAATCTAATACAGGTACACTCAGGTTTTTCCAACTTTTTCCTCTATTTTTAAAAAATTATAATTTATATATTCGTACTTATCTTTAATGAGGACAAATTTAAGATAAAAGTGGTATAAATCTCAATTTGTCTGATATTCAATTCTCAGTAGAAATGATTACAACAAAATACATTACACTGATTTAAGTCTTTAATCTTATGTATAGTAGGTAGAGGACTTGTTGGCAAGAGCATTGATATCATCTTTTAATTAAGAGTCATTTTTGGTGTGATGTCCTAGTGTGTGTTTTTAACTAGTCTGTTCTTTACAGGTTTGTATCATGCTCCCGTAGCATGATGACTCGTAAACCCCTACATGCTGTATCAGGTTCTTCATATATTCGAGGGGTGAAACTGTCCTTGGAGCTGGTGGCGATGGGTGCTCATAGTTAAAGCAGGAATTCAAAGGTGGTACCTCCCCCAAAGAGAGAGAGAGAGAGGGGGGGATCGGGCCATGCCACGATCGTGATACTCTCTGCATTTACCGAACCAGAAAGACCACCACCATTAAATGAGGGAATCTCTCTCTGGGCGGACAGGCCGCAACATTAATAGGAAAGGGTACCCCCAGTCAGACTATTTTAAGAAATCGAAAGTGTTGAATCCAATTTGGCTTTATTTATTTCCATGGTAAAAATTAATTAAACTGTTTTGACTTTACCAAGACAAATCAGCAAAAAATAAAACTGTAAAAAAAAAAAATCGGCCTTTTATATATTCTTAAGATGTTTCAAAATAAACTTTGAATATGGTGAGATAAAGCAAAAACAAGACAGTAAATGAAAGAATTTGTTTCATATGCCACAGTGAAGGCATTTCTTCATATTTTTCACTTTATATAAATATTAAACAGTCAACATTTAAAGGGTTAGGGGGCATGCTGCATGCACACGACAAAGAGGTGGAATCGAGTCAGACCCCTTGAACGCGTAGAAGAGGATATGAAAAGAATCCAACCTTATCGATTGATCAAACAGAAAAGCCATCAAATTAATTGATGATCATGATTAATTAAACATTTGATACATAATAGTAGCAGAACTACCAAAGATGAAGAGATGCAAGCTGTGTGTTGAATCCTTTGATAGTCAAGCAATGACCCCACTCTAATATTCCCCACCCCAGTACCCATTCATCAAATCTTTTATGCCAACAAGAAAAAAAATAATTAAAATCTACCTACAAAATAAAAAAAAAAAGACTCAGAACTTTATATTAGTTTGTTTATCTGTTACAAATCAACAACTTTTTCTTTTGCGGCCATTCCACCTCTCAGAAATATCAAAGATGTTTGTACATATTACTTTAATCGTCACGAAAATTAAAATAAAATCTTTAATTTTGATAAATTTTATATTAAAATTTGATTTTTTTATAACATAGATGTTCAATTTTTTAAATATAAAAATAAAAAATAACGAAAAATATATTTATAATATAGAATAAGTAGGAGAAGTATTACCTTTTTTTTTTAAAAAAAAAAAAACCCCTTTGATTTCAGGATATCTCAAAACCGAAAGATGAACAAAGAAAAGATACTGGAAAGAGTATATATTTTGTTGATTAGGTGTAAAAAAAAAAAACTAGAATATATCAATAATCAAAGTGAATATCACATCAATCCAATTGTACTATATATATATATATATTTATTAGTTTCATCCAACTCAAAAAAGGGCCCCGAAATTATTAATTTCCAGCTTATATGGTCCGAGGTTGCATTCCATAATTAGCACAGAAAAAAAAGAAGTAATTTGGAGTAAAAAAAGGTATACCAAACCCAAAAAAAACCGCCATTTACAGCATAAGGGAAACGTCTCTCGCGGAAGCCATTAAAAGCCCGAAACAAGGCCGTACAAATGTGCATGAACGGTCGCGATCTGATCAGAGCCCCCGGTGGTGACAAATTGCCAAGGGAAAAAAACACAAGGAAAATCGCACGGTGAAAACATCCGGGATTTGGCATCTATGGAAACTTAGACATGCAGACAGCCGACAGGGAGTAGTTGGCGTAAAAGACATCTAAGAAATAAATGTCTGTTTCTTTTTCCTTTTGTGCGTATGTGTTTGTTGAGGGTTGGGGTATGATTATTCTTTAATTAAATCTTTTGAGTTGTGATTAAGAGATTAATAAATTGAATCCTTTTTTGAAACTTAAAAAGAAGAATTTGATGTTAACGATAATTATTGGTGGATGGAAATGGGTCAATGCGCATCTCGGGCGGCAGCGACAGGGAGGGAGAATTGGAATGATTGCAGCTGCAGAGTGGTTTCCTCAGAGTCGGAGAGGATGCGGGGGTGTCTGGCCATGGTGAAGGAGCAGCGTTCCAGGTTCTACATCGCCAGGAGGTGTCTTGTCATGCTTCTTTGCTGGCATAAATATGGCAAATCTTGATGATTTTCGTTTTCTCTATGTCTTTCTCTTTCCTCTTCTTCTTCTGGTTCATTACCTTGTTAAATTTTTCTGGACGTTCAAATTGAAATGTAAAGAATTTCGAAACTTTCGATCAGCACCACAACTCCCTTTCCCTTTTCCTTTATCTAGTGTTTTTATGCTGTATGATAATTCAATGATATGTATGCAAGAGCCAGAGACAGTCTTCCGGATTCAGAGTTAAGCCAAATCAAAAGGAAAGGTTAAAGAAAGATTAATGGTTAGAGTTGTGTACTGAATCTTTAAAACATGACATAATGGTTAGAGTTGTGTACTGAATCTTTAAAACATGACATGCTTTATGTATTAAACTCGTTTTTGGTAGTATTAATGGCCAGTTTTAGGATAATACCAGAATCAAGGTAAAGACAGCACTGTTTTGTGGTGATAGTGGTTTGTTCTTCTTGTCAGAACTTAAAGTAGAACTAATGAATACTAAAATATTGACAAAACCAGGGTAGCTTCACGTATCAGATAATGACAGCCATGTGCATGCAGTTTATACTTTAGTTTCTCGACAAACAACCTTTGATCATGTTATTTGTTGCCCTTCTATATATTATCAGAGCCTATACTCTTTCGGGTCGCCTCGCCGCTTCACTTTACTGTCAAATTCGTCCTGCATGCAAAACCTGTGACCATCCAACAGGCACCAGAAAGCCACTTTGCCTGTCTAGTTTCTAAGTTGGTTAACTCTTTGTTTCTTGCTTGGAAAATCCAACCATGAAACATTCTTGAAGAACCTTGTATGTTTTTGAATATATGCACAGTGTCCAAACGACCGATTGAAAGGCATCCGACATCAGCCTCAGGATTTTGCTGGTGCGAACCTGGCTATCATTTTTATCGCAACCCAAAGAAAAGAATTTGTTTTGTTTGGTCGTGAAGATACACCAAAGCGGTTGCTTTCAAATTGCTAGCTGCACCGATTGGTTGCATCAAACACTCTAAATCGAAAACAAGGTCTTGCTCTAGTTATTCCTATGACCTTTGATCAGCATCAGCAGGCGCATATGGATTACCAACCTTTGTTACCGGCGAACATAAAGGTTATTTATCTCTAATTAATTATTTCTCGAA